TTTTAGTTTTAGTTCCTTCGGCTATGCCAATTCGATCATTCGTCTTTTAATTAGATGATCAATATTTATCTAATTATCCTTGTAAATATCTTGTAATTATCCTTTCGTTTGTCTCGAGGTATGCGGTGCAATATCTCATTTTCGCATATTTCTTCTTCTTCTTTCTTTTCTTTTCGTTTTTTTTTTTTTTTTTTTTTTTTTGTTTGTTTTTCGAACGAAACGGACGTCTCGGTTTTCCCGCTTCTCCGTTAATTGACCGTACGAACTGATATCTCCGTCGCTTCCGGTACGAATCGCGACGTTTCTTTTCAGTTCGAGTCCGGTACTTGAATCCATGTATCGCGCAACACGTGTTATATAGGGAACGAGTCTATGTGTACTATATAAATATAAATGTATAAGAATTCGTGTAGTCGGAGGTTTCGAGGCCTACGATTCCATGATCAGCACATCGCCGAGGATCGATCGTTAACTTTGTCGACAGGCGTTTTATCGTGGCTTCGAAGACGAATTTTTAGAATAATTTAAAAAAAAAAAAAAAGAAAAGAAAAAAAACAACAGTGACTTATCGCACGATCTCTGACGCATTGCTGCTAATACGAACGAGTCAGCTTTTCTCTTCTGATTTCTCAATTCATTGTAGAAAGATGACGCGAAACGATAAAGTAAATTCTGCGGTGAAATCTATCCAAGAAGCAAGTTTCACTTGAACGTCTAAAAAGAAAGAAAAGAAAAGTTTCTAAAAAAAATGAAATCACCGAAATGGAAGAGACGATCGTCGAGACAATTACGATGAAACGCGTGAACGCGATGAACGCACCGTCGCTGTGTTAATGATGGAATCTTGAAACTCGAAGACCAAGAAATTCGTGTAAATAAGAGGAGCAAGGTGTAATAAAGTGGGAGGTGAAATTACGCGTCTCGAGGAACGAACGTAATTTCACAACGTTTCCCCGTAACGAATGAAATTCCAAATTGTGGGGCATTACATCGGACTGAGAAAGCAGACCCGCCTGTTGTTCAAAGTGTATGATACAATCTCCGTTGATCGAAGGTCTATCGATCTTTAGTCTCGTCTTTACTATTAATCACTCGAACGATATACACGGTGTACGAAGAATATTATTCTGTGCAACCCCCGCCCCCCCTGTATGTATGTATGTATGTATGTATGTATGTATGTACATGTACCTATATATACGTGCCTACGTATAATTGAGATGTATCGCGATTAACAGAACAAACGAAACACGAA